CGGAGCAGGAGCCGTGAGCAGAGTTACTCAAGGTCCCCATCACGGTCTGCTTCTCCCAAGAGGAGGTGCGTGCCTGGGGCTTGCCTGTGGGTCTGGTGATGATGGGTGTTTCCCCAGGGTGGTAGGAGGGGATGGGCTGCCCCTGAAGACAGTGGCTCTTACCCTGGGGTTTCTTGTTTCTCTAAACCTGGAGGTCGTGCCTCTGTCTGCCCCTGTGGGTGTGTCCCGGCCTGGCTGGGACAGGCACTCACGCATGTGGTCCCAGGTGTGTTGTCCTTCCTCACAGAAAAAGCGACAGTGGCTCTACGTCTGGCGGGTCCAAGTCACAGAGCCGCTCTCGGAGCCGGAGTGACTCCCCGCCAAGGCAAGCACACCGAGGTGCTCCCTACAAAGGCTCTGAGATGAGGGGCTCCCGGAAATCCAAGGATTGCAAGTACCCCACCCAGAAGCCACACAAATCCCGGAGTCGGAGCTCATCCCGATCTCGAAGCCGCTCACGGGAACGGGCAGATAATTCTGGAAAATATAAGAAGAAAAGTCATTACTATAGAGATCAGCGGCGGGAGCGTTCAAGGTCATATGAACGCACAGGCCATCGCTATGAGCGGGACCACCCGGGACACAGCAGGCATCGGAGGTGAGGTGGGTCCTGCATGGGTGTCCTGGATCCTCCCATGGGGCACATGTGGCTCAAGTGGCCCTGTGGCCGTGATAGTTTTTGGAAAACTTTTTTGACTCTGGACCTTGAGATGCATTTGGAAATGGATTTGAGGGGATGGCAAGGTCCCCTTAGGGTGGCCTGGGGCATGGCACACACCTGTCCCAGGTGAGGTCCTCCTCAGCTGAGCCCTGTGGGCGGCTCCTTGGGAAAGCAGAGGCACACATCCTGTTGGCATGGCTGGGTGCTATCGACAAGCTGTTCCTTCACTCCTGTACTGATGCTCAATTACGTTAAGCCAAGAAAGATGATTTTTAGAACCTTTGCCTATATTAGGTTGTACTTATGTACATATTTTGCGGTGTTTCACAATGAGAAAATGGCCTTAATAGCCCTTTATTCTCTATCCACGTTGTAAATAAACATGTGTTTAATACAAGGAAAACTATGTATGAAAACTCAGAACTGGAATTCTGCCAGCTTAAAACTTGTGTAGAGAATTCTGATTTTTAAAATGTGAAGGTATTTAGGTCTGTGTTGAAAGTCGTATATTTTTATCTGTGCAATGCTGTGTGCTGGCCACCAGCTCCCAAATAGAGAAGTTTCCTATATATGCATTTTACGTGGTTGAATAAACAGTTTTCTTCTCAGGATGCTTGGGATGTTACAGGCTTTCTAGGTTGTTATTCTGCTTGCTTGTGAGCTGCTGTGGCACGTCTGAGCTACCATCCCTGCTCCCTGCTGTCATTAAAGTGTTGGATTTTGTAGTAAGCCCCCTTGCACCTCCTGAAACCATTTGCCCTTTGAAAGGCTGCTTTTGGAGGGTTGTAGGAGGGAAGAGGTAAAGACAAGAAAGTACTGAAGGGCCCTGGAGCATATCTCAGCACAGGATAACCAGAAGCAGGCATCTGGCAGGTGTCCCCAGAGCTGGGCCTTGCCGTGTGCAGGGCCATTGGGCAGATGAGATTAGGCCTGGAGCTGTTTCCTGTTCCTGAGGTGGATGGTGCCATGTCTCACCTGGGCCTGTCATTTATCTGGTTTTGGCTCTTCTGTCAGTGGTTACCTTCCTAAACCAGCACCTCAATTAAGCACCAGAGAGGTTGAGATTCCATGGATAAGGACAGCCCCACAGGTATCTGAGAGGAAGGATGTGTGGTGTTCCTGCCAGCCTAGGCCTCTGTGATTGCCTGGCAATGGCAGATAGCACCTCTGCACTGTCTGGTAAGCATGTGGCTACTCTGGTGCCTGAGCTATGTCCACTCCAGCATATCATGAACCTGATACTCAAGCCTCATTCTGACCCTCCAGGGAGCATGTTGAGTGTTGCAGCTGTAAGACCTGGCCACAGCTTCAACCTCCTTCCTCAGCTGCTGCCCAAGGCCCCCTTCTGGGCTCAGCAGCAAGGGCACAAGACATCATCCATTGGGACTCTCAGCAGCCCCAGTGCTGAGAGGAAGTGCTGGGGCTTGGAGTAAGCTTGGGGTGCATTTTGCAAGCCTTACAACATTGCTGGGTTTCTGGAGATTCCCTGCCCCTCCCCAGGGCACACTGGCACCTGCTCATGGCCCTGGACCTTAGCAAGACCAACACAGTGGTCCATCTTGTAGCCAGCCAGGGATGTGTGAGCTCTGGCTACCTAGGATGGTTCATCCTGGTGGCCCTGCCTGGTGAGACTGTGGGGCCAACTTTTCCCTCATCCTGTGAGGAGTCCATGCAGCATGGGATAAAGAGACCACTGCTTCTGCTTTGCTTCTATTGATACCTGCCACTGAGCAACTGTACTATACTGATACCGGTACAGAGTTATACTGAGGGATGCTGGTAAAGATCAATAGGTGACTCCATGGCTGATTTTTAACTTGCCAACACAGTTTATTTCAATGAAGTAGCTACTCTACAGTGTTTCCATGACTATTTTTAATATTCAAATGATCTTATGGTTATAGATAAAAGTATACAACTATGCCAGGTGTGGTGGCTTATGCCTGTAATTGCAGTGGCTTGGGAGGCTGAGACAGGAGGATTGCAAGTTCAAAGCCAGCCTCAGCAAAAGTGAGGTGCTAAGCAACTCAGTGAAACCTTCTCTCTAAATAAAATACAAAATAATGCTGGGGATGTGGCTCAGTGGTTGAGTGCCCCTGAGTTCAAACTCTGTTACCAAAAAAAAAGAAAAGAAAAGTACACAACTAGGAAGCAATATGCCCTGTATTTCCCTTTTGTTACAGTTTGTTGGATAATGCTATGTTAAAAGCAGGGTATAAAAGTGAAAATGAACAGCTAGCTGTTGTGGTGGGATCTGGCATGAGCTGACTGCAGCACTCCACTGCAGGGCTGTGGCGAGGCAGCAGGCACTTTGCCTGGTTTAGGTTTCTGTAGCCCAGGACTTTAGGGCTACTCAGCTCAGGCTACAGCGTAAGCCCCAGCCTGGCCTACCCTCAGCCACCGGCATTGATGCCTTTCCAGCCTCCAAGCCAGAACTGCAAAATTTCTACAAAAGTTCTGAAGAAAACCTTTTCCTGAAGGCAAATGGGTATTTTGGGGAAAAGAAATGCATGCAGTAATTGAGACTAAAGAGTTCCATTGATTAAAACAAACACACACGCAAAATTAGAAGTTAGACCTGATGGCACGTGCCTGTAATCTCAGCTATAATGTAGGAATTGAAGCAGGAGGATTGCAAGTTTGAAGGAAGCCTGGGCAACTTAGTGAAACCTGACATGACACCACAATGAAAATTGTGCTGGCAACTTAATGTTGGCTGTAGAGACACCTGGCAATATAGCTCAGTGGTAGAATGCTTGCCTGGGTTAGTCCCCAATGCCACACAATAAAAATTAGAAAACAGCACATACACACCAATCCTCTCATTTCCAATCTTTATGAAAAATTGATCTCCCTAGTCAGGTTCTAGCACCTCTAGCTTGGCAGGGGCTGTTCACATCCCTACAAGTGTTCTGCCACTGTTGTGGGAAGCAGCCAGTCAGATCTGGCAAGGGCATTTTGTGGGGTGGGGTGGGGGAGGCATTAGCATCACCTGTGACTGAGGATGTCCCAGCCCTGCATGTGCTGCATGGCCAAGGTGACCAAGCAGCTAGCTTCTCTGCTGCAGGTGAACCCCTTCCCTTTTGGCCTGGGGTCTGCTATGGTACAGGAACCCTCACAAGCTTGGCTGAAAGCTAGAGCCTGGCTGGTTCCTGAGATGGGGAAAGTGGGTCCTCTGGCCTCATCCAGCCTCCTCAAGACTCACAGACTGGAGCTCTTGCACTGTCTCTCCCATTAGTCCCTGCCTCTCCGGAGGTACTCTTATCTACAGCCCAACTCCTCAGAAGTTTGGAGGCCAAGGTTGCCGACCCCCAGATTCTTTTTGCCCTTGCCTGGACTGTTATTAACATTGATGACCTGGTTTTCTGCATCTTCCTGGACCCTGGTTAGGTGAAGGAAGTCCACACCAAGGTGAGGACTGGAGTTGAGGGCACCAACCTGTCCTTTGTGACAAGACCAGTTACTAGGATATGCTGTGTGACTGAGGTGAGAGGTGGGTTCCCAAACGTGGTCAAAATCTTCCTGCTTGGGAGTCCTGGGCAACTCCTCTAGGAGGCAGGAACCTGTGTTGTTTTGTAACCTCAGTTACAGAGCTGGACCTGGCGCCTGCAGTTTCTGTCCTCACTGGCCTATCTTCCCTGCCACTCGCTCCTTAGCCAGGATGGTGCCTGGGGAAGACCTGCTTGGCTCTTCCTGCTAAGAATCCCTAGACGTCCCTGCAGCAAGGCCAGCCTCAGCACCAGCCGCCTCTGCAGGTTCACTGCGGGCTCCATGCTAGCCAGCAGGCCTTTGTTGAGGTAGATGAAGTGGTGGCCTGGCAGCCCGTGCGCTGGAGCAACGTTAAGGTGTCAGCCAAAACCAATCCTGCAGAACTTGCTTTTGGCTTATGGTCTGATTTTTCCTTCGGAGCTTCCTTGCGGACGCATTAGATGCACAAAGGAAAAGGAGTCTGTCAAGCCCTAGGGGCAGCGGGAGCTGCCAGTTAAGAAAGGGCCCCGGTTCCCAGTGTCCGGGCGGCGGCAGCTTCGACCGAGTTACCGCTGGTTCCACTAGTCCCGTCTCGCCCACAGCTGGTCCCCAACTCCGGAGGGAGCTCCGCCCGAACAAAAGCAGCCCTAGCCACTTCCGTCGCTCAGAGTGTGGCATTTCCGTCGCCGCAGCCTTGCGCCCGCCGCAGAGAACCCGAGCCAGGGCGAATCCGGAGGCGCCATGAGGCGGCGCATGCTCTGTAGACACCCCGGCGTCGGGAGTGTAGTTTCCTTCCGCTGGGACGAGGCGGAACTGACGTATGCTCCAGGGCGGCCCTTCGAACCGGAAGTCTTCGCCTACTGAGCCCCGTCGGGCCTGTGCCGCCGCGAACTCCGGCGCCGGGCGGTCGCCAGGGGCAACTGGGCGTTGGACCCACCGGGGAGCCGGTTTGGCAACGGACCGGAAGTGCCGAGCGCGGCGGTGAAATAGTCTGTTCGAGCCGCCGGGGTCACAACCTCTGAGGTCGCGAGGCTCCGGCGGGGCCGTGCTCCCAGGCCTGGGCCCTTCGGTTCGTTCGGACGTTGATCGCCCCGTGCTGTTGGCTTGGGTGCCCGCGGGAACTGAGGTTGGGGGGGAGGGCGGCTGGCCGGAGTGGCGGAGGCGGGGTTCGATCCGGATTCTGGACGTCCGAGGGGCCAGCGGCTTGTGAAGGCGACTCCTCGTTGCGGGCCAGAGGGACCCGGAGTGCTGGGAAGCGGGATTTGCGCGGCCTGCCCCGTCCGCGGCTCGCGCTTGACCCCAGCAGCCGCCTGTGTTCCAGCTCCCCTGAGCACCTGGGGCCGCCGCCTCCCACAGACCATGTTCCTGCAGCGCCTGACTTTTCAGCTGGTCAGGTCCCTTCCCTGGGCAGGTAAGAGCCCTGAGGGTTGGGATAGGTGCCTGGGTTAGGAACGCGTTTGTCACAGCGGCCCAGCTCACCCTCAGCTGGAGGTAGGATGTGGCCATAGGCTTCCTGTGAGAACATCACTGGGGTTTGGAACAGGAATAAGGTGCAGGTCATCCATTCTGGGCCTGGGGTGGACTTGCTGCCCAGGCCTGGGTGGTTGCAGTGCTCCTGTCTAGTGTCACCCCACCAATGGTAACTATGCTACATTGTTTCTTGCAGGCTGCAGTCGGCCGTGGCCTGTCTCAGGGGTGCTGGGCAGCCATGCCTGCCGGCCACCATACACCTTGCAGCCCACTGGCCAAAGTAGGGCTGTATCTCTTCCTGGCAAGGGGTCCCAGTTGGAGCTTGAGGAATTGCTGGTGCCCAGGAAGATGGCCATCAGCCCTCTGGAGAGCTGGATGACTGCCCGCTACCTCTTGCCCAGACTGGATACTGGGGTTCTAGTATCCGCTGCTCCCACTCAGCACTATCAGTGTCCACCCAGTCAGGTGAAGGGGGAGGCTAGGCAGGGGCATGAGGGTATCTGGGATGCCCCTCACATGCAGTGCAAAAACGTGCTGAAGATCCGCCGGCGAAAAATGAACCACCACAAGTACCGCAAGCTGGTCAAGAGGACACGGTTCCTGCGGCGGAAGGTACGGGAAGGACGCCTAAAACGGAAGCAGGTGTGTCAGGGCACCTTCTTGGGCTTAGGGGGAGTGAGTGACTGATAGTGTGTCTCTTTGCCAAAAGTCAATTGGTGGTCACTTTCTTTACCCTTGCAGATCAAGTTCGAGAGAGACCTGAAGCGCATCTGGCTGAAAGCTGGCCTGAAGGAGGCCCCCGAGGGTTGGCAGACCCCCAAGATCTATGTGAAGAATAAATGAGACTGTTCCTACTTGTCCTGGACATCTGCCTGTCATGGGGTTCTGGGCTGCCCTGGACTTTTCTGCCTGGCATGGGCTCTCTTAAGATGGGGGCCACTGGCCTCTTTGTTGGAGAGTCTCAGGGCCCAAGGGGTCCAGTTATCTGTCCATGGCCCTCACTGTCTTGCCTGACCTTGCTGAATAAATGTCTGCCATAGGCAGCTGTGCACAGCCCAGGATTGGGGGACTCAGTGCACACACAGATGGCAAAGTGCTGAGGGACAGGTTGACAGGGGTGACTAGAGTATATTTTGTGGATGGAGGTGTGGGTGGGGCTTGCTGAGGAGGCAGGAAAGGCCCTGGTTTTCCTAGACATGGGAATGGTACCCTGAAGGTTCCTAGGTCCTCTGAGTCCTTCTGCTTGGCTGAGATAGCCATGTCCAGCCATAGGGGCAGGCACTGGCATGGCTGTCAGTCTTCCAGGTGCCTTTGCCTAATTTCTCATCCTCTGACACTTCCCTGGGTTCTCAGTGGGAGTGGGGACTGATTAGGTGGAGGGCCTAGAGAGTGGTTTGGAAGGTTTAGGGTTGGGGGTGAGAATGGGATGCTATTCAAAGAGCTGGAGAAGCCCAGAGCCTTAGTTTGAGACAGAGGGCTCATGATTCCCAGTTCCCTCAGGTAAAGGGAAAACATCACCCCCAAGAGTTGTCCCAGAGGGACCAACCCCTGCACTTATGCATCAAGCTGTGGAGAAGCTGGACTGCAGGCAGGGAGCCTGGTTAGAGCACCAGGAGTGTGTGGGGGCTCATCCGCCTTGCTTCCTGCCCTCTCATCTCTGATTTAGATGCCAGGGATACAGACTTGTGTGTAGACTGCAGCCTCTGTCTGCTGCCCACTTCAGGGCCAGGACACCTCGTGAGGACTCTCGGGGCTTCCTGATTTTTGGTCACAGAAACGTGTAACTGAGCCCTGGGCCACATCTGGAGACACTCTTGGTGGTTACATTGGGGGCCGAGGCCAGGGATGCTGCCAAACCTACGAGACAGGGTGCCCACCACAGAACCAGCCCCAACCTCAGCAATTTAGGCCCTAAGCAACTTACTGAGACCTTGTCTCAGAATTTTTAAAAAGGGCAGTGTGTAGGAATGTAGCTCAGTGGAGAAGTGTGCTGGGTTCAATCCCCAGTACCCCCCTCCCCACCAAAAAACACAAACTTTGGGGTTGGGATTTTGGCTCATCAGTAGAGCACTTGCCTCACATGTGTGAGGCACTGGGTTTGATCCTCAGCACCACATAAAAATAAATAAAGGTATTTGTCCATCTACAACTAAAATACATACATATATGTATATATATATATTTTTTTTTTTAAAGGGGGGCGGCTGGGGTTGTGGCTCAGTGGTAGAGTGCTCGCCTAGCATGTGGAGGCCCTGGGTTTTATCTTCAGCACCACATAAAAATAAATTGATAAAAAAATAGGTTTTGTGTCCAACTACAACAACAACAAAAATATTTAAAAGAAAAAATAAATCATTTTTGAGACCTGGGCTTAAGTCCCGGCAAATTGGGTCTCAGGAGAGGTGGGAGCTTCGAAGTGGAGGGGACATTGCACAGGTGACCCCGCTTTGCCCTGGGAGCCAGGTAGAGAGAAGCAGGGTCATGTCCAGGTCCCTGTCAGTATCGCCTGTCAGGGGCTTTGTAAATAGGCTGACCACAGCTTGGCGGCCTATGCTGGTTGCCACAAGGGGGCAGCAGCCTGATCTCTGGCATTTCCTGGGACCAGGCTGAGGACCAGAACAGCAGGCAGGAAACGCCCCACAGGCCTTCCAGCAGGGTCACAGGCACCTTTCTGGATCTAGGTTTCCCCCGCAGTGAGTGGGGCTGGGGTCCTAGGACCAGGTTGTCAGCAGTGGAGCCTCCCCTGGGTGAAGCAGGGGATTCCCTTTGGAGTTAGTCCTCCTGCCTGCTGCTGGTGCTCTTGGCCAGCGCCCAGGGCTGCCAAGCAGCTGCTCCTGGTATTTCCTGCCAGCCCCACCACAGAGCTCACCCCACCCTTCCTTGCTGTGGGAGAAGTGTGGTGTAGAGTGGGCTGTCTGAAGCCTGAGCCTCGGGCCTGGTGGGGTAGCCTGTGGGAGTAGCACACCAGGTGGCCCTCCATCCCAGGTCCTGCAGTGTTGGCCAGAGGTGGCTCCAGGCCACTCTGCCTCCTGGGCCTTCAGGGCAGAGGTTCTTAACTGAGCCCTGGGCCACATCTGGAGACACTCTCGGTGGTTACATTGGGGGCCGAGGCCAGGGATGCTGCCAAACCTCCGAGACGGTGCCCACCACAGAACCAGCCTCAGACGTCAGCATTGCCAAGGGTGAGCTCCCACGTATCTCTAGTCCCCTCCTCCTCTCCACCCTGCCCCCTTGAGTGGGGCCTGGACTGCAGAGGTTTCTCTGCCTGCGGCTTGGAAGCCTTTGTATCCTGGCTACTGCCTCAACAGACAATTTGGGGATTTTATTTTTATCGCCACAGCTGCTCTCAGGCTTCAAAAGGTTGTTTTCTCTTCCCCTATTTGGCCTCAACCCTGCTTCCCAGCTCCTCCTTCCTTTTTGTCATCCCTGGCCAGAGGTGGGCTAGGTGCAGCAGGGTGGAGCCTGTCCAGCTGCCTGGTCTGGCTATCAACTGTCCTCATCCCCTCTCCTAGCAGCACTCGGGCCTTGAGTTCCAGCCAGGGCCAGGGCTGGTGAGGGTGATGTCAGGCACATTCTGACCCTGGGCTGGGAGCTGACGTCCACCTCAATAATGGGGCATCTGCATGAGCTCAGGCACCCACTGCCCCACCTGTGCCTGCATGGCCAGCGTCCAGTGAGTGTTCACTGAGCTGGGTCCTGAGACCTGCCTGACGGCAGTGTGATGGCTCCTTGTGCTCACGTGAGCCTGGCCCTCCAGCCAAGGCATCCCCACTTAGAGGCTCCTGTGCTGGGCCAGGCATGGATGTGTGGAGCAAGGCCTGCACCTCCAGCCAGTCTCGCTCCCTGTGGTCTGGGGGAGGGCAATGGGTCCTTCCCCTAAGGCTACTTCCCTAGGCTGGGCCAAGGCCCGCTGAGCTCCCTCAGAAAGGGTGCTGGAACGGGTGCCTAGGGCTGGAGATATCTGCTGAGTTTGAAACCCATCCAGGTGTTCCACTGGCAGGGGAGCAGCAGCCCGCAGCATGGGCTGCAGAGCCCCAACGTGGGGAGTCAGAGTTGGGGTGGGGGCAGAGGCTATGGCCCCACAGCTGTGTGGCCCACCCTGGCTGGCTCTGTTGCTTCTGTTTGATATGGTGCCACCAGGCTTGTGTGAGGACACCATCCAGTGGAGACGGCTGCTCAGGAACTCTTGGTGTGGCTATGTCGGTGATTTTTTTTTTTTTTCCTTTTTTCTTTTCTTGGTACTGGAGATTGAGCCCAGGAGTGCTTAACTACTAAGCCACAACACATCCCCATCCCTTTTTATCTAGAGACAGGGTCTCGCGGGATTGCTGAGAGCCTCGCTAAATTGCGGAGGCTGGCTTTGAACTCACGATTCTCCTGCCGCAGTCTTCTAAGCTGCTGGGATCATAGGCGTGCACCATTACTTCTTACACTTTCGGGTCCCTCCTCAAACCCTCCTTCCTGCACTGTGGGGCTGCCAGGGACAGCCAGGGTGTTCTCTCAGCCTCTTCAAGGCGTCCCTGCTGTCCCCTTTCCTATGTGGTCCTTTTCTCAGGGCTCATCCTGTGGCAGCTCATTGAGGAAGTGTGTAATGGACACATCAAGTAGATTCCCTTCCACCTCAGGTCTGCACTCAGTTCCTGCAGGAATCATTTGTTGCTTAGCAGATCATAGGCAAGGACCCTACACGCAGAGATTGAGGTGCTAAGATTCTGTTTGACTCAAAACTTGATTATTTTATTTTAATTAAGTAATTATTATGGTGGTGCTAAAGATAGAACCCAGGGCCTAATCATTAGGCAAGTGCTTTACCACTGAGTTACACTTCAGCCCTTTTTATTTTTTATTTTGAGACAGGGCCTAGTGAAATTGCTGAGGCTGACCTTGAAAATGTGATCCTTGGCTGGGTGCCATGGTAAATGACATGCCTCTAATCCCAGCAGCTCAGGAGGCTGAGGCAGGAGGATCCTGAGTTCAAAGCCAGCCTCAGCAACTTAGCAAGGTCCTAAGCAAATCAGGGACTCTATCTCCAAATAAAATACAAAAAAAAGGGCTGGGGAGGTGGCGCAATGGTTAAGTGCCCCTGAGTTCAATCCCCAGTACCAAGAAAAAAAGAAAGAAAGAAAAAATGTGATCCTCCTGTGTCAGCCTCCCAAATCTCTGGGATCACAGGTGTGCACCACCGCGCACTGCCAGGTAGTTCTTTTAATCAGTTCTTTTTGATTAAGAAGCCTTGATCAAATTAGTCTGGTTTTGTAATTTCTATGTGAAGCAACTGTGTGTCTTTCCCCTGACTTTGTCAAAATGTATAAAACTGTAACAGTATCACAGCTCCTGGAAGAATTAGCTTCTGTTTATGAAAGCTTAATGAATTTTGCTTTCTTGGATTTCCTAGTCTGTTCAAGAAGTCAGGCAAGTTACCTTTATTCCCCACAAGATATTTGAGGTTGTATTTCTTTAATTATGGAAAATTAAAATATCTGACATCTTTTATGAAGGATCATCCCTGGGAGCCTCGGACAGTGCTGCAGACAGTTTGATATCACTGCCAGGTGGGCGCCCCCAGGGGTTGTCAGCAGCCCCTCCTTCATGTGCACTGGGTGGTGACGGGCTGCTCCCCTCCATCTGCCTCCCCTTGAGTCTGGGCATGTGACCTGTCAGACACTGTGGGACCTGCAGCGCCATCAGTGGAATGAAGCCAGGCCTACACTACTGCATGAGAGGAGGCCTCAAGGTAGGACACAGGACACAGGGACAGAGGGGGCCGGCAATGGAGAGAAGCTGTCTGGGATCCGTCCCTGCCAACACCACAGGGAGCATGGACAAGCTGTCCCCACCAAGTCCTTGAGAAGTCCTGATGGGCAGAATCTCGAGCGGCAGCAGGTGGTTGGCCGCAGAGGCACGTCTGGCCCTCCTGTCCCTTGTGTGTGGACTCAAGCTTGCTCAAGCTTGGTTGACTCACTCCCTCATGCAGATCAGCATGGACTTGAGGATGATAATTGCACACTTTGGGTTATAATCCAACACTATTTCATTACTCAGATACTTTGTGTATA